AAAAGGATGTACTGGACGTCATCAAGAATAAACAACATTGTGACGGTTGGTTATTTGGGTTGAGACGCATACCTGCCTTGTTTCCGATTTCAGCAGATTTGGCATTTCATACCCATGCTGGAGATATAAATACACCTTATCATATAGTTTAGTATTGGAATTATAAACATCTCAGCTAAGTATTTTTGTTTGATCAGGGAAGCCTTCAAGATTCAAATACTTGCTTGATCTGTATTTCATTCGTTATTCTCGGGATGGATAACTTGTTTTTGAATAATCACGGCAAGCAATAGTTTTTTGTCTCAAACAACGATATTGTTCAGCTTCATTTGATCATCAAGTCAAACACAGTGTAGTATGGGGAGGAATAAATAATCACTATTATCATTGTTGATATGCTCACTAACCTAACATTTTCCACGTCTTGTTCCTATAGCTGGCACTGGCGCGGTATTTGCCATTAGAGCACCTGGTCCATACACAAATATGTCACTCTGTGGTTGTATTTATATTATTGAAACAATATTGAAACTACAATTCGAACATCCTTGAAAACCTAACCTGCTGTTAATGCAGGTAAAATAGTCTTACCACATGGATTATTTGTCAATATTTGTTGCATTGCATACATATGGCACGGCATTGGTGGTTACGTCACATGTTTATTTGTGTTAATTGTTTCGGTTGCAGAAAAAATAGCATGTTTAATTTGGATCAAAAGTGACTTTGTTCGACTCGCAAATTTTGCTTTCGCTCGGCTTCGCTAAACGCTCCGCCTCGCAAATGCAAAATTCGCTTGTCAAACAAAGTGTCACTTTTGATCCTAATAAAACAATCTACTATTCTATTAAATAATATCTGTCTGCAGTTCTGCAAAAGTGGGTGCTATGCTCAGCGTATATCTTCAAAAAAATCGGAATGGAAAAATATGAAAAAAAAATGCCTCGTGAATAGCTCCAAATAAGAAATACCCGTGAGCTAGGAGTTCTGAATATGGTAAAAAATGAACACCCCTCTGAAAACCCTGTATCATATAAGTATCTTAAAATTTCATAAGAATTGATAATGATCAGTTCACTTTTGTTCTGGACATATGCTCGGAAGATCAAACCATTATAGAACTGATGTTATCTAAATTTGAGATAACAGTTAAATTAATCAGTGAACATATTATATTATTGGTAATTTATATTACATCAATTAACCCAAAAAAATTGCTTCTCACTTTGAAACGAAACAAACAAATGGAAGGTTAAATAACGGCGTTATGCGCAAGCGCTTCAACATAAAATGAATGAAAAATAGGATATGATTTTTCATCCAATTTCGCATTCAGACTCTCTGTTTCTGTAATACATGGTGCAGTAAATTCTGAATACAAATACTCATTCAGAAAATGAATGAAAAACTGGCCCGTGTCATACGGACTAACAGTCACATTCAAAGAATATACCGCGGTTGGATGGTGTTAGCACTCTTATTGGAGAAGTGACTAGAAGGGCTATCACCACCCATGTGCGACATGTTATCTGCATATCACCGTACAAAATCATGGCGAATTATCATTTCGTTACACTAGCATTCATAACGGTGTGACCTTCAATCTCTGAAAGTTTTAATTATGCAGAATACGTCTTTCACTTGGCTAAATGAGGAATGCGTTTTTTCTACAAGCGTGCGTGATGTGATTCACCCTATACCCGCACGCAATTCAGTATGGGAAGTGTCATTTTCCCGCAACAATTTTCCCACACTAGTGCGGGAAATTTTTCCCGCACTAGTGCGGGAAAACAAATATATGATAAAGTCGCTAGTAATATAAGTGGTTGGTGATGGAATATAAAAGTTTGAGTTTGTTTGTTGCAGTATTAAGTATGTATGTTCAGAATCATCCATCAAATTGCACTATTTATTGTAAAAATTAAGAAATATTGAGAAATAAAAATTGATTATTATAAAAATCCCCCTATAGATTTGGATTGATCTGACGGGAAACGTCAATTTGTCATGCCAATCAAACCTCAAATAAGTTTGAAATTGTCGAAGTGACAGACACAGCATCGTGGACACAGCGTTACTGTCATTTTCGATTCAGTGGAAATGCCACAATGTGATCAAAAACTTCTAGCTATAGGGATTTGATACAGATGCGTTATCACCAACGAAGTCTTAAGAAAGGTATGAGAAGCTATACACGCGTTTTATTGAATGGTTCAACAATAAAGAAATGAAAAAAAACGAATGAAGAATAGGTATTTTTGGCTCATTTCATAGAAGTGTCTGGAACCTAGAGACCAAACTCCTAATGGGCCTGCTGGCTTCCGCAATGAACCAACATAATGCGTCAAACTGTAAGTTCACAATAGCTATTACTAATAATTAATAGATAGAGAATATATATCTCTTGTTAGTTGTTCCTATTTACTTGAATAATTAATTGAACGATTCAATCAATTTCCTACGCTTGTAGAAAAAATATTGTTCCTAACTCATGCGGAAAGTTTCTTTCCCGCACTCGACTGCTTGCCCGAACTCCGCTTCGCGTCGTTCGTGTCAACGGCAGTCACGTGCGGAAAACAATCACTTTTCGCACTTGTTAGGAAAATTACTATTCCAAAACCCTGACTCAACGGCAAATGTGGCCTAAATACTATTCAATCATTGTTGTATAAACAGGTCAATTTACTGAATCAGGTTCAATAACCTGTTTGCAAGCCATTTCCTAAATTGCTCATATACCAGCATGTGAAAATTGGATCATTCATGTAGATACACCCACTTGGTGTTTATGTATTCTGAGAGGGTAGTGGTCTGTTAATAGTCCAGTTACGAACGAGGCTCTATAAAATCAACTTAATTGGGAATATTACCTCGTTGCCCGATCACCTGCCTCTTCTTCATCACAGTCTAAATTTTTTCTGTAGTTTGCAACTGGATTTGGAGGCAGTCCCAAGCTGGATTGTACCTTCAGTCCCAAACTGGAAGTTACTCTATGGTAGCAACCATAAAGTGAAATCTAGATGATATTATAGTTATTCTCGAGATATCAGAGCTGACCTGACCTGAGATGAGATAATGACATGCGATAAAGTCATAAATGTATTAGCCGTGACAGGGTCATTTTATTTTATTGTTGGCTCGACATATTCTGGAATTCTGTTAGATATTAAGTTCTGCAGTGATAGTGTGTTTGTGTTTGTAAATGTCCAGTGCAAAAGCCGTTCCAGGCAGTAGCCGAAAATGTTTGCCTGTTAGAGCAAAAATAATTGTTAAAAGAGTTTATCTAAAGTTAGTAGGGCGCGGCCATGAAAATCATTTTCCATTAAAGGAAACATCAAGTTTAACTGGCATTCCTGAAAGTACAGTTTGGAAAATTGTGAAAAATAATACTGTGAAGCCTATAGAAAAATGGAAACGGAAAGACAGTGGTGCACCTAAATCTGTTAATATATACAATTAAGATGTAATCCGTCAAGAAGTTTATCAGATGTATAAAGAGCAGAAAGTTCCCATATTATCATCGCTCTCAACGAGGCTACTTGAGGATGATTGTGACATAAGCTCTTCTACCACAACCTTGTGGCATACTCTAAAGCAGTATTGTGATAGATAATGCATTCAACCATAGTCGCCAGCAGAAAGAAGGAAATACAAGACTTTCTGTCTGAACGTGATATATATTTCCATGAGAGTTATAATGTTAGGCAATTGTTATTAGTATATTACGTAATATATGAGTAGGTAGTCCCGGTCTTGAAACCAGCCCCTCCCCTCCACTTTTCTCCAAACCACGTGACTCGGCCGACCAATCACAGGCCGGCCTGACTCGGCTAGCTACTCGCGGCCCAGCGAACGGGTCGTCATCATCGGTTGGACTGCGATAGATCCGTTCTAGAGATAACGATGCGCATTTCATTCCATTTTTCAACAACGGTTATATACAGGGTGTTTGAGTTGGGTAATAGTTTGGAAAAAAAATATAGGGTGAACCCAAAAGGCGTTATACCTCTCCGACCTACATATAAAGGCTACCCGCTATAACATGATATATACAGGGCGTTTGAGATGGATAACAGTCAAAAAATATACTGGACGCCTCACCCACTTTTGCGGGATTAGACAGCTGACGTATTACATTTGACAGTTAACAAAGGATTGATGACACGACGTGACTAGATGACCTGCAAGTACCGCTACCTAATAATTTAATATACTGGATGTTTGAGTTAGCAATAGCGATAAGAAATAGGGCGTCTCACAGGTAGACTCAGCAAAACATACGTATGATAGAGTATCTGTTTGATATACAGCAATAATAGCAATACAAACTCACATAGGGCACTCATGGCCTGGCGTTTGACATTTGACAGATGACCAAAAACGCTATCATACATCAATACTAGACAAAGCTCTTTGAGGTTATGTTCCATTTCAGACATTCGGTATAGCAAATTTATTTATTCTTCTCTATGTCATGTTGACATGTTAATATTTGGCAGGGATAATCAACACTTAGGAATATTATACATATAGTGCCCCACTGAAAAAAGGAATTTCTTTTCGAGCCACCCTGTATAACATTGGCATTTTCAGTTCGGAGAAGATTAGAAGGAGCATAATAATCATGTTCGTCTCCCTATTGATCAGTACCAATCAAGATGTTGAAGAGTGAGCATGTGCTGCTGTTGCTTTCAATCATCGCGTCAGTTTCCGCTACTGGCAATGATACGATAGAATATGCAGGTGCCTTTTTGAAGCGTTTCGGCTACATAAATACAACGGATAATGCTGTCACCGATATAGAATCAGCATTAATGACATTTCAAGAGACATACAATCTCCCTGTGAGTGGATCGCTGAATAACGAAACTCTACGACTGCTGAATAGTCCGCGTTGTTCTGTAGGAGAAAATAATTTCATGATACATTCGAAATGGAACAAAACCAAGTTACGCTGGTATTTTCCTCAAGCTAAAAAGGTGCATCGTGATACAGCCAAGATGGCATTCGATAGGTGGGAGGAAATATCGAATTTGAAGTTTGAAAATGTGCAAAACCCTTACAGGAAAAAGCCTGATATTACCATAACTGTTATTCGAAAAAATCACAATTTCCGAGCAGACTGCCAAGGCACTTCCAAGTGTCCACATAATTTCGACGGCCCTGGAAAAGTTTTAGCTCATGCATATTTCCCAAATGAAAACAACAAATGTGTCGAGATTCATCTTGATGCAGAAGAAAAATGGTATCTTGGAAATAGTACTTCTCCTGATGGCCAAACTAATTTATTGATGGTCCTGATTCACGAAATTGGCCATGCTCTTGGGCTGGGCCACAGTGGCGTCAATACAGCTATTATGTATCCTTGGTATCAAGCAAGTCCAGCATCATTCGATATAGATGATAAGAGGGCGATAGAATATTTGTATGGGCAGAAAACTGAAAACTATCAACCAACAACAACCTCAACAACACAGACAACCGAATCCCAAAAACCAATATCCCAGCACACCTCTACCACAGCTTCATCAGTGTCGTCAAATGAGCCCCATAACGTAGACGTTACTAGCACAACCTCAAAGCCTCAGATAACTCCAACAAGATTATGCGACATTCAAGTGCCAGACTTTATGTTTCTAGCCACAGCACCCCAGTTTCAAAATTATCGCATGTACGTGGGATACAATAGATTTTTGTGGAAGTTCGATTTGAACGATATGCGAATTCCACCACAGCCAGAGCTGCTTGATGATTATCTTCCTGAAGATTTAAAGTCTTCTCGAGTTTCACATGTTTTCCAAAATTCTGTGGGTAATCTAGTGACATTTATAAATGATAGCATGTATTATGCAGCATCTTTTCCGAATTTCCAAATCCACCAAAACTTTCGTTTTCCTTTGCCTTCTAAAGCAAAAATTAATGCTGTCTTCCAGACAAACAGTGGACAGGCTTATTTGTTATATAACAACGATTCTTACATTACATTTGATGACAATGGAGACATGAGCAACCGTGGGCCACTTAGTCACATCTTCCCAGGAATTCCAGCAGGCATAATATCAGCTTTTCGTTATATCGATGGAAATATATATTTTTTCGATAGAAATACGTACTACAAATATAGTGAATATACTAGACGGGTAGTGAAAGCCGAACCGTTCAGTTGGAGCGTCTTTGGAATATCCTGCCCCAATGATGGATTACTTCATCAATTGAAAACAATGTTAACAAGAATTATATCACTTTACGAATAAACGATTAAATACCATTTTGTTTTATTCCAATTGTCACATGTATGCTGTCTCAGTCACGAGTGTTCAGTATGATGTTCAGGCATGTGTGTTGAAAAAATGCATCAATTTTCGAGATATATAATATTAGCATGGAAATGCCGACCTCAACTAAATTGTTCAAATAAATAGTCGATGTTCATTAAAATGTATGTAGACGTTTGGAGGAGTGACTCTCACGATTTTATTGCACTAAATAAAATACCTACTTTGTTTTTCAAAAACCCACCCTTCACACTTCATCAAGCTGTCTCCTCCTCCTCCTTGTACTTTCACAGACAGTAACACACCTTAGCGGTAGGGCTCGTAGGCTTCTCGTACAGGCAGCAACACACCTCATTGCCCTTTTATATGTCTTTTATTCCCCTTCTTGTTATTTCAATGGTGTCGTGGCCCTCTTCTGTTGTACGGTGCTGGTTGGAAGTAACTGAAAGTGGTGAAACTGAAACATAATGTGAGTTGCAAGTGTTGTACAAATTCTCGAGAATCAAATAGGCCATCATTTTGAAAGAGGTGTGCGCATGCGTCACAAAAAAAACGTCACTCTATATGAGTGACAGGGCTAAGTGGTAGTATGACAGGCGTCAATGGCGGTGTGAATGGCAGTGTGGCGGAGCGAATGGCAGTGTGGCGGTGTGAATGGCGGTGTGAATAGCGTAGTGGCGGTGTGAATGGCGGTGTGACGGTGGGAATGGCGGTGGGACTGTGTGAATGGCGGTGTGAATGGTAGTGTGGAGGTGTGCATGGCTGTGTGAATGGCGGTGTGAATGGTGTGACGGTATGGTTAGTGTCGGGTTTATAAAGATGTCAGTTGTTGTCCTGACTTCATACTGTTAACATCATAGTAGGAAGAAAAATATATTACGTCTTGAGATGTTTGCTTGTCAGCAATGCAGCAAGAAATTCAAGTGGGCCTATGGATTGAAGCGGCATATGGATAGTCATGACGAAAAAGTTTTCAATTGTCATTATTGTGTGGACAAATTCACAAGATTGGATAGCATGAAAAAACATTTGGCGAGAAAGCACAAAGGGAACGACCTGGTTAATCCCCAAAACGAATCGATCACCACTGATCAACGAAATGAGTCGAACTCCATTGATAGTGATCACCAATTATTGTCCCAAAGTCAGTCGAATTCTGAGATTGGTCAGCAGTTGAGTCAAAATGATGCTATCACGGATGATCCTTGTGAGAATGAAATCGAAGATAGACATAAAAAAATTGTGGACTTAGCTGAAATTGTGAGAAATAAATATTTGGCGCTTGAACAACTGGCTGACGTTAAAGTACCCATGAAGCGTTCAAATTCAACATGTCTGAAGATGATCAAGCCGAGTAAGGAATCGCGTCCTGTCAAGTATTCATCTCACATTCAGAATGGCCATAAAAGTACTCGGTATTCACCAAGAGATGACAGTAGCTTCGACATTCTGAGGAGAGGTGGAATGATAGAAGGAAGCTCCAGGAAAGCAGATGAAATAAAATTAGAGCATAGATTGTGTAGAGGTCTTTTGGTATTTTAGTTGAAATAAATAGTATTTCTTTGAATCTCGTTTAATTTTTATTAATACAGAACTGAAACATGAAATGGGTACTCAGCAAAGTGTCTGAGGCCTGATAGCATCTAGCAATTGTTGACATCTAATAACAAAATTGATGTCACGATGACAATATTGGTGATCATTATCCTAATGAAAAAATTCCCCTCTGGGTCATTAAATTGACACCTATATTCTCAACATATAGAGCAAAACCATGCGCATACTTACTTGAGCAATGATTTTCAACGACGTTTGCTTGTCTTCTGTTTTACGATCAATTGTGCATAAATCTGACATGGTTGGCTACTGCTGGCTTACTGTTCTCTCATCATCATCATGCATCCGATACTTCAACAGCTGGTCCTCCGTTTCACCAATGAGATGTAATCTGAAACTGCAGTAGAGCATGAGACGCAAGGTCTCAGTATGTGTACAAATAAAGTTCATTATAATATGAAAATATTTCAAGGTTTAGATGGAAAAATCCGCCACTGGGGTTGGGACCCAGTCTTGGACAGCTCTTTTCATCCTCCACTAAAACCCCCACTGCTTCAATCTCGGATGAATGAAGAGCAAACCCATCGTTAATCCTTTTGAAAATATTTCCACAATAATGATATTATTCAGGTCATATATGTATGTATAAATGGAAAACTAGTTGGTTTTGCGAAAATGCAACAACAACAAAAAAAGTAGAGGATTGAGCCTCAAATGCCAAAATGGGATATTTTCAGGCAGATTTCAATAGCAGAGCTCAAAGGTGTTGGATGAATCAACAATTATTAGAGTTGTTATTTTTCTAGTTGTGAAAAAATGTCAGTGTTTGCCGACTTGGTGAAGAACATCGTTTCAATACTGGGCTTCGTTACATCAAACCATGATGATCAAGAGATAAGAAGAGGTCTTCGCGAATGTCAGAAGAGGATTAAGCGAATAAAAAAAAAAAAATGCGATGAGATATGCGAAGAACTTGGGGAGCAACTTTCACTGTATAGATGGATGCTACTCGTTCATTTCTGGATATAGCTGTTTTCAATGAAATTGGTAAGTTGCTTAGTTTTCCTTAACTAGGAATCAGAATACATGTCAAGGATTATACTAGTAATCAGCAAATTTGGGGAAGGGCTTAGATGGGTGTTTTTTCCATCAGGTATGAGAATGACAAAAAATGGACTTTTCACTTAGGGGTTGGTCACCCTGGGTTTTCTATATTGGGAATACTGATTTTGGTCATTTTGGTAATGAATAATAATCAATGATACTATTTTCATTTATTTTTCAATTTTGACATCTTCTAAATTAGTTTGTTTCTCAAGCTGGGTTGAGGATTACCACTAGACTGGACAACGACACTAATGATTTCAATATTGGATAATCAGATTCCGCCAATCACCATGGCTCAAAGCATATATTGATCTGAACACCAACCTCCGTAAACAAGCAAAGAATGAGTTTGAAAAAAACCTATTCAAACTCATGAACAATGCTGTTTTCGGAAAAACGATGGAGAACATTCGTAAGAGAGTCAACGTTAGGCTTTTAACGGAGTGGACGGGGAGATATGGTGCTGCTGTATTCACAGGCGATTGTTGATGTTGTTGCGAAGCTTGCGAAAAAGTGAGCATGTTCGTGATAGAACACATAAGATTGTGTGAGTCAAAGAACTCGAAACCTGTCTGTAGGTGTCTGGAACGCGGCCTGTGTTCTAGCGGGGTAGCGGGAGTGCGATGGCATGACATCATCAGTGACAGGGTGTTTGAGTTGATTGAAAATTAAAAATTATATATACAGGGTGTCCCACGGTTAGACCACCCCACTTTAGGGGTAAATATTGAAGGATTGGGGAGTGTGGGTACTCTGAGAGAAGGATTTTTCGCGAACATTCCAAAAATGGCAACTTGCCTATATCTTTACAAAATTCCTGTGTATGTGACTAAGTTCGGACCGTTGAAAGCCAGTTACAACTATGAACCAGTTGCTGAAACAAATACATCTGGAGAGTGGTCTGGTCGCACAACAGTAGAAATATAACTATTACATGTTTCTCCCGAGCCGTCACAAAAACGGAAATGGAACAGAGCGTTCCAGTCGGATCGACACCCAACTAGGAAGTTAGTTACGCTGAATAAGCTGAGTCCTAAGAACTCGAAACCGGTCTGTAGGTGTCTGGAGCGGGGTCTGGCTAGGTCAAAATCAATTGGCATTCAGGAAAGAAACACTTGTATCGGTATTCGTTTATACGAGTCGAAGCTCTTATCGGTAATTTCAAAGTTGACGGATATTACGAAGAAAAAAAAACAAATATACGAGTTTCAGGGTTGCTATTACCACGGTTGCCCTCGTTGTTTTAATCATCAGAGAGATGCACCTCTCAAAGACAGTCCTTCTGAAACTTTAAATCTCCGTTATGACACGACCATTGCCAAAATCGATAAAATCAGATCCATGGGATATGAGGTCATCGAAAAATGGGAGTGTGATTTTCGTAAAGAACTGTGCAATAACGAGGAACTGAACACACAAAAAAAAAAAGTAAAAAACAGCAACTAATAATACTAAAAGAAAAACGCCGGTGAAAAATAACGCCAAGGCGGCTGTAAAAATAAGTAGGATCATAACAACAATGGACTTTTCACCAGGGTTGGGCTGATTTAAATCAAGTGATTTTTTTTTGTTTAAATCACAATTTAAATCAAAATATTAATTTCGAGAACATTTATTATTTATTTGAATAATAAAAATATGAAACTGAAATAAAATAGTAAAACCCCTAAAAACGGGATATTGAAACATATACATATGTATATCTTAATCATACTATACATTATTTTATAATCATAAGTTTCCTGACATTGAAACTAACATAGAACATTTAAATTTTCATTATATTATTTAAACATAAGATCGTTCCAGAAGACATAGTACACATACCTGTTACGATGTTACCTGGACTTTATCAACTTCAAGCCGCT